GGTGTCTGTGTGTGTCCACTTCAGTTAAGTCGTATGAATGGAGGCACTCTGTCCTCCCCTCAAAGCTCTTCCCACCCCGGTGCTGGAGTTTCGGGTCGAGTGGCAGCTGTCTGCCCCTACATCCAGGTTCCATCCGAGGGGAGACAAGAGCCAGGGTACCCGCTCCCAGCTGACCCACCGCCCAAACCCACCCCTCTCAGCCACATTCGCTCCCTCTCAGGTTGGTGGATGTTTTGTGTTTTTCCCCATTTTAAGTCTCTGTGCTTTACCAGACTTGGTTTGTCTTTATCGCTGTCTGATCTCTAACTTGCTCTTCTTCCATTTCTTTCTCCTGTCCTGTTTTTTCCCTCGTCCCCTTCTCTGTCGGTGTCGGTGTTCTCTCCACTGTTCAATGATTTAATGTGGTGGTTCTGTGATTGCTGTTTTGTAATGTGTTGTGGTGCTGGTGTGGCTCTCGCTGTTGTTTTCGTCATTCCGATGGTGGTGATGTTTACGTCTGTGCTGTTGTTTGGTGGGTGTTGCTGTCTCGTGGTTGGTGTTGTCTGTGGTGGTGGGTGTGGCCTTACAGAGGAAGAGAGGAGTGCCATCAGGAAGCCTCCCGGCCAATGGAAAGAGTCAGATTTAGACATCGTCCTGTCAGAGCCCACTGAGCGGTGGGAGGGGCCTCTGTCCCCTCAGGGGGGCGACAGTAACAGTGAGTCCAGGAGAAACCACTAAACAAACTTACTCACCGCTGGGTTTATTGGTGATCGCACGATACTAGCAGCACCTTCAGCCTTAACTCCTCATTTTTACACAAAAAACAAGTTGCTCAGTTGCCAAACGTCATCTTACACAAATCCACGTGTAAAGTATCAAAACAGGGTATGGGATGGTAGTGAAAATTAGAAGTTTATAGGTTATAATATTATTTCAACATAGCACCACATGTTTATGTGAAAAAGAAGGGGATGACCACTCGAAAGATTCACTTAATAGATTTTTTGAGCGGACGTTTAAACATTCGGTTATCTAGAAACTACTTTTTTAGGATGAATATTTGGTGGTATGGCTCCGTAAATATGGCCTCTAAGGAGGTCAGGGTGCAGCTCTTGAGAGTAAGTGGAGACACGCAGCTTGAGTTAACATAGAAAGTTAATGTCAGACGTGTGACAGCAGATTTGGAGCCTTGTAGAAAACACAGTTTTGCAGGTAGGGGACTGAGATTTTGTGTACAGCTCCTCATACACAAGGCACATAACATTCGTGAAATTGGTTCAAATCAGGTCAGAGGTTTCAAATTAAAGCTTGAATATGTGGGAAATAAATCTAGGTATGACACTATTTTATATTTTATATATATATGT